AGGCGACGATAGGGACTGGAACTGGTTTGGGCCAAAGGTAGAGGATGAGGTACTTTTATCTGTGGCGGGAGCAAGCAAAAAGACGTCAGCAGGCAGGGATGACTTGATCTTGATGTTGGAGAAGTTGCAGTTGCAGGGTTCGGGTTGACATGGGACAAGGCTAGGGAAACTATGGATCAACCGGGGGGTGCATGAGGCAGAAATAGAATGGAACGTGAGTTATGAGTAAGAGGGAACAAGAACGAGTGATCATGCAGCAAAACAATTAAACTGGACCGAGACCCCCAAAGTGTGCCAAGGCTCAGCAAATGTCATGAATTTGTAAAGTCTAGGCTCAGCCCAACAAGGCACAGCGAAGGGGAAGTGACTGTGACAAGTGACAAGTGACAGTAACAGTGACAGTGACATTGACGGAATTATAATGGGGAAATGGTGATGGAAATAGACAAATGGCGAATGTCCGAAGAAACCCAACCTTCTGGTTGCATCCATCCAATTGCCGCTGTTTGCTTTGTTCTTTTTATTTTGCCCTTTCTTTGCCTTTGCTTTCTCAGCAAATAACAAAGTAGAAAAGTGCAAGCCCACTGACAAAAGCCGTCGCTCAAAGCCGATCTGATTCAGCCAAGTCTAGCTTCAGTTGCAGGTCCCACGTTTATCGCGTCACTACTCAGCTTGCAGCTTGGTCCGCGGCGCAGGGTCCACGGAGATGGAGAGACTTCTCGCTTCCGGTGGACGTGGGAATGACGAAATGAATGCGAGAAGACAAAAGCGGAGAAACAATCAAGTGAAGTGAAATGAAACGAGTTGCTGCTCATCAAAGAGAAACCCAAGACATGAACACGAGGGGGGGGATAGAAAAAAGGAATAGGCTTGACTTGAAACGGGCGAATGGATGGGCAATGCTTGCCCAGATGGGTTTGGGTGAGGATGGAAAGAGGCAAATCAAGGAGAGAAACAGTTGATTACAGAGACGAACAACAGGAAGAGAATTGTATGTCCATACCTGTGACGAGGGTGGAGGGTCCCTGTGGTTGGTGCTGGTGGGGTGCTACCATGGCCCTTGGGGCCGAGAGTGCCGCCATAATGCCCATCTTTTTCGAAGTCCGGTGCTGAGAAATAGCGAGATTGAGCCTTGAGGGCGCTTCTGCTGTTTTATCTCGGACGGGGCTTGCAGTGAATGGCGACGGTGTCGAATAGAGGGGTACAGAGCTTCGGTGTACAGGCGGCGCCTAAAGTACAGAGCAGGTGCTGTCGATTGGGGGAGGGCAGCTGGTCACTAACAGAAGCGAGGGACCAAGAGCTGTAAGTCAGAGCCACACACCCATCCAAGGATTGGGGTCAGTTGAGTGATGGGGACGGTACAGCGACTAGAGTGCTGTGTTGTGCTTCTGTCGCTGGGCAAATGGCGTCTGTGGTTGGTTCGTCGGCAAAATGCGAGAAACGCTTGACGGCACTACCGAATCGTTGCGGCGAAATGGTATCCAAGATTTGCGATCTTGGCAGGAGACTTTAACCCAGAGGAATAGCCACGAGGTTGCTGTAGAATACCGTGATCAAGAAAAAGGTGTTGCGTTCAAGCGTATGGTGGTTTTTTCTCAAAAGTTGACAACTGATAGATTGTAACGGTCGATTATACCGGGGCCTTTGACTGAGTTGATCAAGATCTCGTGCCCGTGTAAGCCTAGAACGGATGCTTGTCGACTGTCGATGTGATTCAAACGGGGTTCGGTGTCCGTTTGTCGGTCTTCAATTGAACATTGACTATTCTCTATTGTCTTCAACCACGTTGTTGTTCGTTGTATGATCTCCCACGATTGTTGGATGGGATGCTAGAGAAACCACATGGGACGTCGACTTGGTCGTAGGAGGATATGAAGACGTGGAGGGGGCGGCATCAAAAGTAGTAGCCGGGTGATTATGACCGTGAGAGTGAAGCAAAGGAGCAGCACGATCGACAAGATTCTGTTTTCCCTTTTAAGGATATATAAATAAGGGAAAGAAAGATGTTTAAATAAAAGCTAATAAAGGAGAGGGAAAGCTGAAGTAAGGAGACGAGCAGGAAAAAAAAGCGCGCAGCTTGTCTTTTGTGTCCGTACAAGTTATGAAGCTGCTACACTATTACTTACTCGGTGCAGTCGATCAATTCGGTCCCTTCACCAGTCGCCAGTCTATCCCCAGCCCACCAGAGCCAAACCGAACTAAGGAACGCTCCACTCTTTCTTGGGCAAAGCTTCAAGGTGGATCACAGACCACAACTCGACGTGGGGAACATGGACAAGGGTCAGGATATGGATGTGGATGTGGATGTGGATGGGCCATGGGGAGGGGCGTGCGCATACTCTCATTCTCACACTCTCGCTTTCTCGTCCGAGTGCTGAAGCGATATGCATGTACAGTATCGAATGTACGTACAGATAGACACACAAAGCCAAAGCCAAAAACTTTGACTGATTCTGTATTGGATGCAATGATTTACATGCAGGTGACTCTGCTTGGGTTGGGGTAGAGAAAAATGGTTCATGTGTGTGTGAGTGGGGGGTTAAGGTATTTGTTTTTGGAGATCGGGATACGGAGAAAGAGGCCGAGAATTGATATCGTTGAGTTATCCAGATCATCAACTGCTTGCTTCATCAAGAGGACAGCAGCAATCAACAATAATTAAGTGTCCTCTGGTTTATTAATCCCGTCCATGGAACCCTTGGATAGATAAACGAAACTTGACTGGTCCATTTTGCTCCGTCGGACCTTGTAAAGTACGTACATATAAGCACAGTGCGTGATTTATCTACTAAAAATCCACATCTTATGCGACCCAGTGGGTGACTTGAATCGCCTTTTACCCATAAAGATGCAGCCCAGTTACCAAGGGGGTGCGGCGAGAGTGCGGAATTCTGCAACGACGTAGGCGCAAGACCAGATAGCAAAGGCAATTCTTCTGATGGACAGCCCGAGATATTAACAAAGGCTACGGGAATTCCCAGATTGGAGATCACAGGCCAACTTCAAGATATGCCATAATTCCAGCAGTGGTAAAGTAGAGGCGCCAACACGGAAATTATGCGTGGGTGAGCCGTGGAAAAAGCTTGGCTAGCTGTCTTTCCCTTCACGATGACCGAAGTGCCCCATTTTTCCAGGTTCTGTCTCTGCATCTGCATTACTGAGGTCCAGTGCTCCTGAGTCGGCCCTGGCCCTGGCACTGGATTAGATACCAAAAAAAAATCCTTCAGAGAGCCTCTGAGCTTATGCTGATAACTTACGTCAGTATTTTTGTCACCGAGTTTAGTGATGCCAAAGTTTTCTCGTCTGGCCTGCCCTGCCCTGAGCCTCTTGTTTACAGTACCTGATCCATTTGATGACAGCAGCTGCCTTTTGGGTTCTAGAGCCGCAGTGCCTCGACCATACAGCAAGCAGCAGCGGGAGACCTAATAATAGTTTATTTCGATGTTTCCTTTGGCTTCTGAAGAAACACAGGTGCGCAACTGCTCTCCTGAATCTTCGAGACATCTGGAAGCTCCCACTAATCAAATGACGATGCAGGCGCCATCAAATCAATGTTGTACCGTACCTGCTGAGAAGCCTCGGCGAGCAATTCGGCCAGTTTTCTGTGTTCTCCCATTGGCCCGCTCACCTTGACCCGGCCTCTCTTTCCCCATCTGGGGTCCCTTGGAGTGAGCGGTTCGCTGTCCTGGCTCTAGAGTGAAAGTGCAAGTGCGACAGCCACTGACCAATTACCTGCATCGGCTCCACCGCCAACCAAATCTGGTGTAAGCGCAATCGTCTCGAGTGCCAAAATCTTCAAACATCATGAATAAGTGCAAAAGCATCATGAACTTGCCTTTGAGTAACGAACTGAGCTATTACGACCACTTTGTTGCATCTTGAACATCGCCAAAACCAGTCACCGAATTTTCTGTCTCGAAATCTTGTTTGTTGAGATCTTGTCTCGTCGTCTCAGTTTAACCTAACCCCATGCAATTCCAGAGCAACTATCTGCCCGAGACCCTGTTACAGCCAAGACTTTTCAAAAAGCGATCGTGACGCTGCACAACAGGACTCATAATCTTCCAGCTCCTCAAATAATCCAGTTACATCATCGAGAATTCAATCAGGAACAGCGGTCAATTCCATGATGAATACTCGTGTCTCGTGCTCAATGCTCGCCCTTTGTGACGATCTTCCACGTATCATGGATCTCCACATGAAGCATTCGTGTTTCTGCCCTCAGCAAATCATTAGGGTTACCGTCTCCTGAACAAGGCGCAAGCAGTCAATAATCCCGCGCCTCTCCCCAGCCCTGTCTCGCCCGGCCTCGAAAGGGAACGAATCTGGCGTCAGCAACTGGCGGTGCAATGGCTGAATGCCATGTCAAGTTTCTCCTTCAACCCCTTGCGGCATGTCAGCGAGCTCGCGTGCCTTTGAGCCAATTTCAGCCATCATTCAAAGCCAATTTAGCTGACCGACTTGGACCACTGCATAGGTTGTTACCAAAAAATAAAGCCCCACGCAAGCCGCGGGTTTATGTTCCAGGGGTTTGCACAAGAGGCAAGGTATTTTGGATAAAACTAGCCTATGATTTGAGGAAGTTATGATGGCCTAATTAAGAGTATAACCCACGATTGTATTCAAGTTATGCTCTCCTAGGACACTCAATTGAAGGATAATGGGATTCTATGGGGTACCGACCGCGGACAAAACCTGCACCACTAGTTAGTACCCGCTCTGTCGCCTCGCCTGAGTCGACGGAGAGCATGAAACGGAGCCTGGGAATTTTAATTATAGGTCTCTCGGTCCTCTATAGCCGGCTGCACTGCTACCACTCAGGGCAAGGGCAGCATCGAAATCCACCAGGATAAGCGCCTCAAGCCGTTGATTGGAATTGCTCGGGAGAGACGGCAGTTCTCATCAAGAGCAGAAAGGCCAGCATTTTCCACAGAGCCAGAATTGAGTGTGACTAATCAACAACCCTCAACTTCGACCTCGACTGCATTTGCATGCAAATCATGAGTCTTGGTGCCGGATCTTGGCTAGGATTGGTCACTTCGACACCCAAGAGCCGCAATCAGACATATCCTTTCATCCGCAACACCACGGTTGTCGAAATCAGCCCAGTTTCTGCCTGCCGTTGCGGCTCTGACATCGGACATTGGACGGCGCTTATCCGGTCAACGTGCCTCCGATCATGCGAAAATCCCGGTTCGCTATCCGGAGCTATCTCATCTGAAGTTTAGACCAACATATCTTCAGTGGTCTTCTCTCGATGTCAGAAGCTGCGATCAGTGCCATTCCCTCCGGTTTGGTTTCAATCTGCCGACAGTGATCGCCTTCATTTCGTCAATCCTGTATGCAGTACCCCCTGTTCAACTTCGCAAGAGACGCGCACGCAAGGTGCTGCTGTGTAGCCGGACGACGAATGTCCTTTGACACAAATCTGTGTATGCGCGTCCTTCTCCGTCAAAGCTCTCGCTGCATTGCGATTGCGCCTCAAAGTGACGCACAAGTAAGACAAGTTGCGCGGCGGTTTGAGATTATTCAAAGTAAGCTTGAATTCTAACTCATACCTGTCACGCCTGATCGGCGTTGATAGACATAACAAGCGGCATTTACGTTTCCTTATGTGCAACGCAAATCGCATGGGATTTGATTAAGCGCAAATTGGATTTCGGGAAGCCCCCTGGCGTGACGAAGTGTCGGTCTGTGTCTCTGTGATCTCTCTAAGCAAGCCAGAAATAATAAGGAAGGTTCTTCAGGCATTTGACCTGAACATATAATGAAAACAGGAAATGATGGTCATCAAAATTTCCACATATTCGCGAACCAAGGGGACGCAGAGGTCGCACCGCAAATCTGGCTTCACAACAAGGATATCTGCACTGTCTGGCATTTCAAGTCCCTTGTCGCCAAGGCCGTCAATGTCTCCCCCTGTTCTGGCAGCCCTCAACACTGAGATCTTGACCAGCGCAGCGAATCAAGGGACCTTTCTAGGGCTGCCTAGCTCGCCTTCAATCACAACTCATAGTTGGTGGAATCCTGTCCCGCCCTTCACGATCTCAGGAAGGCTATGACTCTATCGTCGTATTCACACGCGCCTGCAGCGGCTGTTCTTTCGAGGTTGAATGATCTCGTGGTTTTATAAACCCGGAAGCGCGTACTAAAGGTCGCGAGCTCCTCCAAAACCGGTCCGGTGCGGGATCTCCATTCCACGCCCACCCCAGGCCACACCATTCAAGCCATCTTTCTCGCCTCTGCATGACAGGGATGGCTGACACGGGTACGAGCGCGTCATATGCGCCCCGGAGAGACAAGGAAGTGGAGTTGATCCCTGGATCTCCCGTGGCACGGTCCCCTGTCTCTTGTGTCTCTAACACACTCTTGATCGCTCATTGGACATTGGGTATCGTTAATCCTGTCTTGGCCGTAGGTTATCCGCGTGTAAGAAACAAAGTCTTGTACACGTTGAGTTACAACTCACGATCGACGGTCGTTTCTAATTCAAACTGAGTTTCTGTCGGCCCGTGCCCGATGGCAGTGCTGATAATTGCGATGCCTTGACGGACTCGAACTAAGGTCTTGGTATTCAGGTTTGATGCTGATCAGGGGCCAAGGTTCAATTGTGAGGCTGTCAAGTCGAGTTCTCGAACTTCTCACATTGACTCAAACACGGCACATAGAGTGTTCTGAGTCTATGGTTCACTTTGGCAATTTGGGCCACCGCACCGGAGGTGCTTGGCGAACGGAGGCTGCTACATCGTCCATGGGTTAAGTTTAATTCTACCTTAATTCTGCCTTCACCGTAGCCTTAATGGTGATCTGCCGAACGTGCTTTGCAAATCACTTTTACTTTTTGGCAAGGGTCGATCATCAAGCCCAAAGAGTCGATTGCTTCAAGATGCCAAGCAAGGCATTTTTACAAGGGTCTTGATGAATTGGGCAAGAGGGCTCTGATCAGATACTGATGCCTGACCAACAGAAACTTCATCAAGGGTACCTCACCACCAGCTCATCGAGTGACAAACACTGAAGACCATGCTGGAGCATGCTGTTACACGTGGTTCTTATCCTCTACGTTAGCCATGAATCTCGTCATCATGAGAATCGATCCCAGACACTTACCGACACGTGAGGGCACTCAAGCTGAAGGCACGATCCGCCTCATATCAGCTGAAATCAGAGGATTTGGATGTTGTTGTAGGTGCGAAGACGTCAGTTGTGAGCACGCAATACTTATAAACGACACCATGGCACAAGAAATTAAAGCACAGCGACAAACCTCAAGTGCTCTCTCTATCCTCGGTTACCACATTCCCATGATATGAAGTGGCTCTCTCCAGTATTGACTCCGCTGCCATCATTATCACACATGCCGATATCCCAGGCACTTGCATTTACATCTGAGCTAACGAACAGTAGTCTGCATCAACAAGCCGGCTTTTACCTCGTGACTTTTATAGCCGGTCTCAAGGTCCTACGAATGGTCATTTGTACTTCAATCCAGGCTCGTCGACAAAGATTCTTCTGTCCTATCGGGGTACTCTCATAATGGATGCGAATCCTAGTCAAGGACCTACAAATTTATCCATGAACTTGTCATGCCATACAGGCAGGAGGGACACCAAGAAACTCCATTTGAACAAACGTCAACGGGAACGACAATTACCTGATCACGGCGTTGAAGTCCGAGACAGGTTGCGTTCTTGGCCCCGTTGGCCCGCAAATATCTGTTCATTGGATTTCGAAACAGAAAGGTTTGCATCGTGCACCAAACAGTGGCGGATAAGACTTGCATGAGCCCATGGATTATCACGTCGATTGGCTTGAACATCGCAACACCCTCAAGATGGCTAGGCCCAAATAGTCTAATAAGTCACCTTCAAGATCTAAGCAAATGCCGGATCTTGCCACACCTTTTCGATCTCTCTCCTTAGGTCGAGACGTACTACACCTAGGACGGTAAAGACCAAGTCAATCTCAGCTCTTGCTGTTGATGATACACAAAAGTCAAAAGAAAGCTTAGGTACGGCTCGCATCTGAAAGGTGAAGCCGAGAACAGTTACTGATAGCGCGTGGTCCGAAGTTAGATCCAGTTGAGATAACTGTGCCAGCTACGACCAGGAGGGAGTGTGCATCCGTGGCCAATGTCGGTCCGCCCGTGGTTAGCTTACACGACGCTATCGTCGTTCAATTTGACATTGGATCTGTCGACCTGTCGACGCGGCGTCTCGCTGCCGGTTGACAACTGCAGGGCCCTTGACATCCCACGCTGATGCAATGGACCTGGCGTTGTTTCGATGCCTTGCATACATTGAGCTCTCACGTTTTTTCGGAGCACAAACAGGTATGACATTGTCGCTCAGCCCTGTGACACTTCCTTGATGTCAGACCAGCTCGAAGACGCAAAAGAGGTGCTACCAAAGAAACAACCCCCTTGTCAGATCAATTGTGAACCCTCAGGCCATGATCATTCACGTTGTCCAGGTGCAGGCAGACATGAAATGCTCCTCTTGTTTGGTCAATTGCTTGGCGAAAGCTGCCATGCTAACGCCCACGATGTTCCAGACTCGAGACCCGCTGCAAGTGCAAGACCTGACACGTACAAGGCCAGGGCATAATGAGAGGACATATGCATCTGCACTGTACTGTTTGTATGGATGAGGACGGTAGTTACGGTGCGACAGAAACAGGCTCCGCTTGAGAGTTGACGAGGGACAGAAAATGCCTCACTACAACAGACCCAACTTAACCAAGCCAAGCAAGCTAACAAGGCACATTGAACGGCTTTCAGCGGATAACTTTTATTTACTTGCCTGAGTTGGTAAGTGGCTCCATTGGACTGAATCCAACAGTCTGGAAACACGAGCTCCATCCATCACAACTCAATTGCTTGCTGTACTACAACCCAGTTACCTATTGATGGATAGAAGAAATCAACAGCAACATCAGCCATGGATTGTTCAGGTCATGGTGGCGTCATTCGTCTCGGCACATAGAGCATCATCCTTTTCTTGATGGGTTCAGCTTTTCTTGAATTGTCTCTTGGAATAAGCGCACCTGTTGTTCGTCAATGCCATGCCATGCTTCGGTACGGCAGAGCAGACGATCGAGTCTCATCCAGACACACCAATTACGTATCATGATGAGACGTGGGGTCGCGTTTACAGTCCAGTACCTACAGAACTGCAACATGACATTTAAACTCAAGGAAGCTATATCGATCCGGGTTACGGCGTCAGTCTCGATGACGAGTTGCAGTTGCAGACGCTGCACAAGGCATGTCACCAGGTGTTGGCGTTTTAACCTACTTGTCGGTTAGGTTACTGAGATGAGGGGTGAGATGATGCTATCGAGCTTCTCCCCTCAGTCTCTCAGCGTCCAAAGCCAACCACGGGATTGGTCAATTCAAGGATCGCCGAGCATCTGACAAAGGCTATCACGGTCTGGCTGGTCTGGGTATTTTTACTCTTTCCATGCATCTTTTCTAGACCCCATTTGGCGCCGGCTTGGCCGCGCAACTCAACTGACCACAAGCTTTTGAACAAGCTTACCATTTGCACTGTAACTTAACTGGCGAGGGGTTCCCATGGCCAAGAAAGACAGTGCAATACCTACTATTTTAGACGAGGGGAAACAAGCTCTTTTCTCAACGCAGCAACGTGCATTCTCAGTGGCACAGCTCGTTGCTCGAACCTTGGCTTTTCTTGGCCCCGTGGTCTCGCCTAAGAAACACACAAAGTTGTTGAGACAGGCACCCGCACCACGGCCAAAGCTTCAAACTCAGCTGAGAAGCTATCTTCTGTATCCGTACTACGAGGATCACTGTGGATGAGGAGCAAGCCACTTCCGTTTTCCCCCGCCATGTACCCCATATTCTTGGCGGAGAAGTCTGCTTTAAGTCCAACGAAGATCCTGGGGGGACCAGACTAAAACTACCTAATGGTGATGGAGTCTGCCACGCGGTTCTTTGCTTTGCGTTGGGTATCACCAAATTCATCTGCATCTGGGGTGCATCGGTGGCGGGCAAGCAAGACTCAAATCGGCCATTGCGCACCCTTTACAGAGCGTATATGGTGCTACACAGTATAATTTCACGAAGCCATGAGCTGAGTTTAGCTGAGGAGACCCAATCGTCAGGAAAATCGCATTCTGCCCTTGCTCGATACTTTCTGTCGGATAACATCCCTCACACCAACTTGAGTTAATGATGAAGCTGCAGACTGGACCTCGACTGTCACCTTCTCCCGCTTGTCCGTTCTCGAGAACCGGGGACATAGGTAGACTGTTTGGGTGTTGAGCTGCTACCTTCCAGGCTGGTTACAGGTTACAGTGAGCACTGGACGTCATTTCTTTGTGCTTACTCTGCCGTTGTGATATACACAAGGGCACATGAAACACTCGCTCGGTACGA